GTGGTGCAGGCTCCTACCCTGGGGGTTTTTAAGAAGAGGTTAGACGAACACCTTGCTGGGGTCGTTTGACCCCAGTACTCTTTCCTGCCATGGCAGGGGGTCAGACTAGATGATCTTCTCAGGTCCCTTCCGACCCTAGAAACTATGAAACTATAATCTGCAAGTGTGCAGAAGTAGCCGGTGCCAGTCCAGGCAGCGTGTTGCAGCCTTTTGATGGGCCACAGAGTAATCCTGGTTATGGCATGTGTTGCACTGGGCGGCCTGTAACAGTCAGAGCCATGCTTTGATTTTCCTCCTTAATTAGCTCTTTCAAGCGAAAGCAAGTTCAAGTCTAAGCAAAGGAAAAATGGAAAAACGCAGTGTTTCCACCACCCTGCAAGCCAGTGCCCACGTGGGGACCCAACATACAGCAGTGCCTTCACTCCTTCTGTGGTAGAGGAGTGTCATTTGACTTCATTTCCACTGGCCTGATGACCCCTTCCTCTGGCAGTGTTGAGGAGTCTGGGTATGGGCACGAGTTCCCCAGGGCACTGCAGTGGGCCGAAGAATTGAGCCCCTCTGCATTGGATTTCTTCTACCCTATCCTGTGCTGATCCAAGCCAAAGGCAAAGCTCCCATTGCTTCCAGTGGGAGAAGGACTGGGCCCAGAGTGATTTCTGGGTTTGATTTGCATTAGCCCCCAGGGTTCGGGGCTGGGCAGGGGTTTCTGTCTCAGCATCTTTGTGCTCCCATGTCTGTGCGCGTAGAGCGGTTCTTAGGCTCCCTTTGCTCAAGAAAGTGCTTTGCGATCCTTGTGGGATGGACCCAATTTTGGTGATTGCCACGCACCTGACTCTGGAAGCCTGAAGTTGAGTGACTCGTCACTGCGCGAGCAGCCCTATCAACAGTGGTAGCTTGAACAAGACGGGTAGAGCCCTGCCTCTCAGCTGGGAAGTGTGGTCCTTTGATACACGGGGGTGGCTGCAAAGTTACTCCATCTGGGAGTGATGAAGTTACTTCTTCATCTGGGAGAGACCTCGCAGTATGGCTGCATCTCTGCTGGTGATTTGCCCTGCTAGAGCCAGGCACCAGCAGTGCCAATCTCAGTGCTACAGACCCTCCCCGCTGAAGCCCCTGCTCACACCACTGCAGCTTCCCCTGGTTTTGAGCAGGTGTTAAATGCATCTCTGTTGGTGGAGGAAGGCTGAGTAGTGTCTATTAGGGGTCCTGGCCCAGTCTTGGTCTTGATGTTTGTGCTCTCCTACAGTGGCAGAGGGATCTTCTGATCTTCTTATATTAACTAATGACTCCCCTGTGGGTGCATTGGCAGTGCCCTTGTCCCACGGCTTCTCCCTGTGGCATGCTGTAGGGCGTTCTTGGTTCTTAAGTATTTTCCTTGTCATTGTGGGTGAGGGTTTAAAGTGGCGATTTTAAGATCGTAAGAATTGCCGTTTAGTGAGTCTGACCGTAGGTCCATCCTGCCCAATCCTGTCTCACACGGGAGCAGAGTGCCGATGCCAAAAGAGAGCAACCTGGCTATGACCCGGGTTTTTTCCACTGTTCTTCCCTCATTTTCAGCCTCCAGGATTAAAGGTCCAGGAAATTCTGAATCAAAGACCATGCTCCTCGCTCCCATGCTCAAGAGATACAGGCCTAGCTTCTTTAGTCTCTTATATGGAAGCCCCTCTGTACTGCTGATCATCCTTTTTGCCCTTCTCTGGACCTTCTTTCATTCTTCTGTCTCCTTTTTTAGGACCCTGTGGGGCAACAGATGCTCGCAACCATGGAGGGCTGGATTTGTTGGCCTGGGAGACCCCTGCCAGACCCATGCTCCTTTCAGCAGCACCCCTGTGCTTCTGGGAGCCATAGGTTCAGGCTATTGTACTATCATATAGGGTTTTTTTTTTCTTAATGGGACAGCAAGGGATTTGCAGCAAATCTAAGGCTCCCAGGCGTGTCACTGCAATAGACTGCAGCAGGTGCACACATACTAGCATGGGAGGGGGAGCGCTGTGCAGGCTGAAACCTGGTACCTGCTAGGGTACCAGCTGGGCTGAGCTTGTCAGGGCCGTGCCTCAGGCAGTCTGAGCATATCCTGCCTCCTGCTCTCACCCTACGGCAGAAGGTGCCGGGATCTCAAAGTGCTCTTATGGAGCGAGCCTGCCTTGCAGATCAGGTTGGAGGCGGAGGATCCATCCAGGCTTCTCAGGCGCATGTATGGGAGCAGCAGGGATGAGAGAAACCACAAGCAGTGTGTTTGCAGCAGCCCCCCCTGCAAAGTAGAGTTTTTTCCCAGATGGGAAGGATGAAGGGAAGGTTTCCAGTGCCTGCTTTCCTGTCATCAGTAAACCACTGCTTAATCCTCAGCACAAATCAGGGAAGACCTATCTGTTTTTATAACCCCGCAGTTGCTTTCCACACTGGTCTTAGTTTGCTCATGTGATACAGATAAGCCCATCGGGGTTTCCCATTTGTCAGCACCTTGAACATACATGATGATGAGAGCTTGCATTAGAGGAGCATGTTGGACCCCAAGATGTTGAGGAATTACAGCACCTGTCAGAGAGATGCAGTCACCTCCATGGTGCAGCACAGTGCTTGGACACAGCCCACCGCATTGCTGCACAGTAGAGCTGGCCAGAGCATTTCCACTGAAAAGGGTTGGGAGAAGAATGGTATCCAGGTTGTAGTCGTATTGATCTAGAGGGAAAAGCAGTCGGGGCTCACAGTAGAGGCGATCTTTTTTGTTATTCCAACAAGGTTTTTGCAAAAAAAAAACTTCTTTAATTGCAAGCTTTCGGCCACAACCCCCTTCATCAGGCATTAGAGAAAAGATTGTAAAATCCTCTTGGGTAGAAATGAAAGTTCATCTTTCAAGTGGGAGAAGAATGGCATCTTTTGGAAATGGAAGAATTTCTCAAGGAAATGGGGGTTTTTTCAGCATATTTTGGTCATTACAATTGTATTAGTGGATATTTAATCTTTTTTCTTAGAGGAACTACTGTCCCAATATCACTGAGATATTCCTCCCCCTCCTGGCAAACCCAGCTTTGCAGGATGCAGAAACTGGTTTCTTTTTTTTTTTTTTGTAAACAGGAAGTTTTGAAAACATTTTGGGAAAAAATAAAGCGAGCAACAATGTGGAATGCCCAAAAAACGGCCTTTCTTAAAGCGGTGAAAGGTTCATGTCATCTCAAATGATGTAAATATTGTTCAGTTTCCTGCCAATGACTGTAGCCACAGGAGGGATGTGAGTCTACGGTGCTGCATTGCTCAGGCTGGGAAGCCCCCTGTAATAACAGGTATGGGATGCACATGTGGGTGGGCATAGTGGATTCCTGCAGGTTTCAGATGCATCTGGTATCTCTGTCTTGGGTGCTTGTGGCCTCTAACCCTGTAGGACCCACGTGCCTTATGTTCTTGAACGTATTTATCCTCATAACATTTCCCCCGGCAGGAGGTAGGGCAGTGCCATTCTCCCCATGGGAGAATGGAGATGCAGAGAGGCTGAATGTCTAATCCAGGCTACAGTGTCCCTCCCGAAAGCCAGACTGGTGTCCTCTAAGCTGTGCCAGC